CCCATCCCTGGCAGTGTTGAAGGGCAGGTTGGATGGGGCTTGGAGCAACCTGATCTAGTGGGGGATGTCCCTGCCCATGGCAGGGGTGGGACTGAATGATCTTTAAGGTCCCTTCCAAATCAAACCAGTCTATCATCCCATGATTCCACAAGAAGCAGTAGGGAAACAAGGAGATAAATGGGATTTAAAAACAAGCAGCACAAGAGGGATGGGCAGAGTATGGGCTGGCAGCACAGGCAGGAGATGTGAGAGCTGCCTGTACGTGGAGTGTCAGGCAGGAGGGACTGTTCCCTCTCCCAGGGTAATGCCCAGCTCTGCTCCCTGTCTCTCACTTGGGGTCCTTGACCAGCAGGCGGCGGATGAAGTCCTTGGCCAGCTCACTGGTGTTGCTGAAATACTCCTCATCAAAGTCATAGTTGACAGCAGAGATGTTGGTCAGGGTCTCCTGCTTCGTTTCCCCCAGGAATGGGGAGGCTCCGCTCAGCCTGCAGGGACAGCAGGTTGTGACACCCCAGAAAGTGACAGCCCGAGGTGGGGGGTTCACCCTGCAGGGCCTGTCCCCCCAGACTCCCCTTATACTCACAGGATGTAAGTGATGACCCCGATGCTCCTGGAAAAGAGAGGAAGAGGAGGATGAAGCTCCACAAAGCACCATCAGGCCCCTCTCCCTGAGCTTTCAGCAAGGGGGGGGGGAGCCACCAGCACAAGCCCAGTCCTGGGAACCAGCCACTGGTGCCACCAGGGCCAGCACTGGAAGGTTCTTGGGAGGGGACTCACTCACCACATGTCAGCCTCCAGCCCCAGAGGTTCATAGTTCACAATTTCTGGAGCTTTAGAAGGAAAGGGGGAGAAAACAGGCTTATTCGGGGGAAAAGAAGCCTGTTCCCATGGACACAATCCCAGCAGCTGCCCAGCTTGCTGCACCAGACCTTTGGGCATCTCCCCAGGATTAAGCCAAATTTTCAGAGCCCTGAGGAGCCCCAGGGGAACACGACCAGCCAGGCCTCACCTACAAACTCTGGGGTCCCAAAGATGTTCTTAAATTCATTCCCAGCTTCAATCTTGTGGGCGATCCCGAAGTCGATGAGTTTGATGCGGGGGTTTGGCACGTTCTTGTCCAGCAGCATGATGTTCTCTGGCTGCAGGGGAGGAGCTGGTGTTTATACCTGGAGCCCTGGGGGCAGGTCTGGGCTGCCCAGTTCAGGAAGGACAAGGAGCTACTGGAGAGAGCCCAGCACAGGGCACTGAGATGCTGAGGGGCTGGAGCTTCTGCCTGTGAGGAAAGGCTGGGAGAGCTGGGGCTGCTCAGCTGGAGAAAAGGAGGCTGAGGGGGGGTCTGATCAGTGCTGGGGAATATCTCCAGGGGGTGGCAGGAGGATGGGGCCAGACTCTGCTCAGGGGTGCCCAGGGACAGGACAAGGGGCAATGGGCACAAACTGGAGCACAGGAGGGTCAGGTGAAACATGAGGAAACACTTCTTGACTGTGAGGGTGGCAGAGCCCTGGGACAGGCTGCCCAGGGAGGCTGTGGAGTCTCCATCCCTGGAGACATTCCCACCCCACCTGGATGTGTTCCTGTGGGATCTGCTCTAGGGGATCCTGCTCTAGCAGGGGGTTGGACTGGATGATCTCCAGAGGTCCCTTCCAACCCCCCCACTCTGGGATTCTGTGATTCTCTTTACCCACACACATTTGCCTGTGGGAGCCTCGTGCTGCCCTGGGCTCTGTCTCCCAGAGGAAAGGACACACACCTCAGGCAGGGGGAGATCCCAGAGCCAGCCCCACTGCTCTGGGGTGCTCGTCCCCATTCCCCAGCTGCTGAGGAGCACGGGGATGGGGCATTTGCACCTCCCAGCCCTCACCTTCAAGTCGAAGTGGGCGATGTGCTTGGAGTGCAGGTAGTGCACCCCATCCAGGATCTGCTTCAGGAACTGAGTGGCTTCCTCCTCCGTCAGGGACTCCTTCTCAGCCAGGAAATCAAAGAGCTCTCCCCCGGAGACCAGCTCCAGGATCAGCACCACGTCAGTCTTGTTCTCGAAGATGTCGTGCAGGGTGATGATGTTGGGGTGCTGGATCTCCCTCAGGATGTCCACCTCCCTCTCGATCTCCTCCCTGCTGACCCCCCGGCGGCTGGACGAGAGTCGCCGCTTCTTGATGAACTTGGCCGCGTATTCCAGCCCCGTCTTCCTCTCCCGGCACTTCCTGACAATGGCAAACTGGCCACTGGGGGGG